TTAAAACTAGAATGTGCTAACTATATTTACAAGAGTATTATCAAGATAAAAAGGTAGGGGTTTTTCTTTCAGTTGAGTTCGGTTAGGTTTCACCTTATGCCCGCGAACTCACCACGCTCCACCAACAAACGGTGCCCTGCCAAACCAAACTCCCGTTTCTCCAACCAGGTTCCCGTCTCAGCAGTTTTAAACTTTGCTCGTTCCTTTGTTTCAGCTTTGCTTGGTCTTCTAAAAACTTTGCAGTTTTCAACTTTTTACTTCTCGTAACTTGACTCACTCAAACTTCTCTTAACTAGACTCGCTCAGACTTCTTTAGCTCACAGTCTGGTACATTCTTTGCACACCCGTTCCCCGGCAAATGATTTTGTACCGTGAAGTGGAATAATTTTTCTGAATGAAGTCAGAAATGATATTGTGGCGAGTCTCCGTTCCCTCAGATTTTTCCACGCCCTTCGCTCGTAACTCACAAACCTTCACCTCACTTCTTCGTGACCGTGCCCAAATCCTTTATTATCATACGGAAGCAAGGTGCGAGAAAAAAGGGAAGAAAACTATTGAATATATAGAATAAAGCTTAATTACACAAGTAAAGAATGCGAATTACGTAAAAGATAGAAATAGCAGACACTAGACATATCCTAAGAGAGTAAAAAAATTCATTACATAATCCTAAGTTAATTATTTTGAATGCTTTCATGAAGAGATTTAAATTTTTGATACTAAATTTTAAATTTACACTTAGCCCAGGCTTTGAACAACTCGGCCCTGTTTTCATCTGAAAGCAATAACGACGATTTCCGGTTTGCAGCTGAAAGTAAGTGCCCAGATGTTAAACGAATGCTTTGTAATGAAACCAATTGAGAGAGGAGAAGGGGTGTTGAAATATCAGCTTCCATATGTTTTGAAGGAGTTTGTAGTTGAGTTTGTACGAGATTTAAGAGTTGATTATAGAGCTGCATTCAGGTTTATGTGCTTTGGTGATGTTCCGGGGTCGAGGTTGAACGAAAATGTTGAGAGTGACGGCAACATCTTAAACTTGTTTGAATTTCTTATTCAAGATGGTAGGCTGTC